CCAAAGAATGCTCAAACTACCTCACAATTGCACTCATCTCACACACTAGTAAAGTAATGCTCAAAATTCTCCAAGCCAGGCTTTAGCAATACATGAACCATGAACTTCCAGATGTTCAAGCTGGTTTTAGAAAAGGCAGAGGAACCAGAGATCAAATTGCCAACATCCACTGAGTCATCAAAAAAGCAAGAGAGTTCCAGAAAAACATCTATTTCTGCTTTAATGACTACGCCAAAGCCTTTGACTGTGTGGATCACAATAAACTGTGGAAAATTCTGAAAGAGATGGGCATAACAGACCACCTGACCTGCCTCTTGAGAAACCTGTATGCAGGTCAGGAAGCAATAGTTAGAACTGGACATGGAACAACAGACTGGTTCCAAATAGGAAAAGGAGTACTTCAAGGCTGTATATTGTCACCCTGCTTATTTAACTTATATGCAGAGTACATCATGAGAAATGCTGGGCTGGACGAAGCACAAGCTGGAATCAAGATTCCTGGGAGAAATATCAATAACCTCAGATATGCAGATGACACCACCCTTATGGCAGAGAGTGAAGAGGAACTAAAAAGCCTCTTGATGAAAGTGAAAGAGGAGAGTGAAAAAGCTGGCTTAAAACTCAGCATTCAGAAAACTAAGATCATGGCATCTGGTCCCATCACTTCATGGGAAATAGATGGGGAGACAGTGGAAACAGTGACAGACTTTATTTTTTTGGGCTCCAAAATCAGTGCAGATGGTGACTGCAGCCATGAAATTAAAAGACACTTACTCCTTGGAAGGAAAGTTATGACCAACCTAGAAAGCATATTTAAAAAGCAGAGACATTACTTTGCCAACAAATGTCCGTCTAGTCAAGGCTATGGTTTTTTCAGTAGTCATGTATGGATGTGAGAGTTGGACTGTGAAGAAAGCTGAGCGCCGAAGAATTGATGCTTTTGAACTGTGGTGTTGGAGAAGACTCTTGAGAGTCTTGGTGTTGCAGAAGACTGCAAGGAGATCCAACCAGTCCATCCTAAAGGAGATCAGTCCTGGGTGTTCATTGGAAGGACTGATACTGAAGCTGAAACTCCAGTACTTTGGCCACCTCATGCGAAGAGTTGACTCATTGGAAAAGACCCTGATGCTGGGAGGGATTGGGGGCAGGAGGAGAAGGGGATGACAGAGGATGAGAGGGCTGGATGGCATCACCGACTCGATGGGCATGAGTTTGAATAGACTCCGGGAGTTGGTGATGGACAGGGAGGCCTGGCGTGCTGCGATTCATGGGGTCGCAAAGAGTCAGACACGACTGAGCGACTGAACTGACTTACTGATCTCTAAACTCTAACAAACCATGATTTTAAATGATGACAAAAATAAAAATAACCTTATTACAGTTGTATTAATTTGAGAGTGATAGTCAAATAGTTAACAACTGGCATTCCAGGGACAGAGGATCCTGATGGGCTATGGTCCATGGAGCTGCAAAGAGTTGAATACAATTGAGTGACTAATACTAGCAACTGGCATGGCAGTGACACTGGGCAATGAGAACAAAGCTCAGCCCAGGCAGAGTGGATGATGGATGTAAAGAACAGCGCAGTCTAGCCTGTTCCTACAGCTCCACGGCAACTCTTTGTTGCTCATATAATTCACTCTTCTAATGTTGCTGTTTGTATTATATTTTTAGGTATTTTATTTTCATGTAATATAATTGTGCAGTTGATTTTATTGACTTTGTAGTTGTTTTTTTTTTTTGCAGGACTAATGGAGTTTTAATCCTTTAAAATACTCAAGGGAGAGAAATAAGTTACATGTCTCAAGGAGAATGATGGGTAAGAAAACTCCACTGGAGTCGTCCCATGCAGGACAGAGTTGAAGGCTTGGTGTAAAAGAGCCTTCTGATCTATAAATTCTATTAAGAGAATTTATGGTGATAAGAAAAAGAAATACATTTTTTTTTTTCCAAAGGAAACTAGGAGATAGCAGCCTGGAGGAGGTTGCAATATAATTTTCAAAACATGACTTTTATTGAAATATACAATATGTCAAAGATTTATTTAATTATTAGTGAAGAAACAGGAGGATGGTGAAATTGATCCAAAGAGGATCTAGGAAGCTGATATATAGGATTGGTGAAAAAAAGAATGCTAGAATAAGATGGCAAAATTAGATACAAAACTGGTAGATGTCCTAAGAGTAAAACCATAATCTTTGAGATTATCATACTGACTGGGCAAAAATCATTATCAATTTTCTATGGTAATATTTAACTTCACAGAGTCTAGGCTCGAATCAACAGTAAATGGCAAACCAAACAAAATTACATTTCCTAGATCATCAGGCTTGTTAGGCAGTCTTGTTCGAGATAATGTTCTAGGAGAATATTGAAAAGGCACACAGTACTTCCTGTTTTATTTGTTAAGTTTGGGGTACTTTTCTTTACAGTGATGTGCAGAGAGCCTGTGTTCTCAAATCTCCCCACTATCCTTACTTACTAAAGTCATGTTTGTGTTGGTGGAAAATCCTTTCTCTCCAAAATGAGGTCTGAAAGTTGGGAGAAGACCTGAGAGGATCACCATGAAAGTCTAGCATAATGACCTTAGATAGTTATACACCTTTAACAAGTTAGGTCACCTGGTTCTAGCATTTGCATTCCAGATACAACCTCTTATACTGTGTCACCAATGCCACAGGAAAATTGCAAGAATTAATACTATGAATACCCACATATCTTCTGTTTAGATTCACTAATTGTTAGCATTTTGTAAATTTGCTTTATCTCTTTCTCCAATTCCCACAAGTATATTTTCTGGAGCCATTTGAAAGTTAATTATACATATATATATATATATATATATATATATATATAGACAAAATAAAGCGAAAGTTAATTATATTTATTATGAAATTTCACTCCTAAATACTGTGACATGTAATCTTAAAATAGGAAGGTTTGGACTTCCTTGGTGGTCCAGTGGTTAAGAATCCACCTGCCAGTGCAAGGGACACAGGTTCAATCCCTAGTCTGGGAAGATCCCACAGCAGGCTGTGCACAGCCTCCTGAGCACATGTGCCCTGGAACACGTGCTCTTCACAAGAGAAGCCACAGTAATGAGAAGCGGGCACACCACAACTAGAATAGTCCCTGTTTACACAAGTAGAGAAAGCCTGTGTGCTGCAGTGAAGACCCAGCACAGTCAAAAATAAATAAATGAATATTTAAAAAGAGAACTTAAAAAGCAGAGTAGATACTATGATGCTTTCCCTGGATTCCCCTTCAGGGATGAAGAACCTATTCCCCCCCTATTTTGGGAGTGCCTCTGGCAGGTAGCCCTTAGCTGTTGGCCTTCCCTGGAAGTTGTCTTGGCTGGGAGGACCATGTAGCCCAAGGTCACAACCTTTCAGGTGCCATCTGCATCCCATGACTGATTGATGTAGAGGTTTAAAGGCCTGGACTCCTTCCTGACTGAGGACAACTTGGAAGGATCATTCCAGCTTCAGCTCCCCAAGCGGTCACGAGGCCGTAGCTGAAACTGCATTGCAACCCAAACTTCCTCTCTGCTCATTTCTGCTTTGTTCTCTCTTCTGTTCTCTTACATAGGTATTGATTCCAAGAGCACTTCCCAATGAAATTCCTGCACATTAATCTGTTTCAGAGTCGGCTTCTCAGGAACCTCAACCAGAGAGGTGCCGGAAGTGGTTTGAGAGAGTCGAAACTAATATTATCAGTTTTAGTGACTTATTTCAAAATTTTATCATCATGGAAGTTAAAAAGTACTTTCTCATGTTAGACTTACAACTCTCTTGTTTCAAAGGTCTCCAAGATGTATTGCTTGAAAAAATTAAGAGGCAGAATATTGTATATCATGAGCTTCCATTTGTGAAAAAAAGAAAAAAGGAGAATACATTTACATATAAGCTTCTATGTGCATAGAATATCTTTGTAAGGAAATACAAAAAATTTGCAGTAGAGGTTGCTTTGAAACAGAAGATCAGGGGTCTAGGGGAAGGGGACTGACTTACTTTAAGCCTTGTCATATTATTCTAACTATCATGCACTGCATGACCTTTTTTTTTTAAATTTCAGTATTATAATCAACAGGCAGACTTTGCTATACAGGCTGTTTCCCACAGGAAAGGCAAAAGTTATTAACTGTATGATGATAGGAGTAGGGCTACAGGACCCTCTAAAGAGAGCTGGACCAGTGTTTGCCAAAAAAAAAAAATAATAAGCTGTCCTTTTTTTTCTTTTCTGTTCTTGGGAACAAGAAGGACAAACTTTTTTTTCTCCCAAATAAAGAATGGCAACTTTTTCACTATTAAAACAAATACAAATGGTGGCCCATCTCCATTTGTTTATTTGTTTTGAGAGAATTTAATGATAACAAAAGACCACAAAATACATCACTTTTACAGTGATGGCCACTACCATGAGGCTTAAAAACTGACTGTCATTGATCCTCTAGCTATTTAGACAAAATATTCCCCTTCTCTGTGCATTAGTTTGTTCATCTAGAAAACAGATATGGAATAAGAGTGGCCTTAAAGGACTATTGCAAGCTTTCACCTTCCTACATAGGATGGACTGAAGTCTGAAACAGAGCAGCAGCACATGATACAGATAAATGGCATCTATTCTTCTATATTTCTTACCTCCATCAAATTACAACTGAAAAACTATTCAAAGTCATGGTTTGTGACTTTTAGAAGTCTATGTTCCACGGTGTGGCCACTGCCAAAATTTAACACTAGGTTTGAAGGAAGCAACAGCTACAGTCTCACGTAGCCTATGGAGATAAGCATTCCACCTTAAGAAGTCAGGATAGTGTTCAGGGATTTTCCTCCACCAAGATTTTGGATCCAATGAAAATGTATCGGAGGACTGTCAGGATGACAGAAGTGAAGAATCCAGTGGACGGTGTTCTGAGTACTCTGATGAGTTTAATTGCACTGATGGCTTCAGCAGGATCGCGAAGTGATGGATGTGGTTCGATCACTCCGTGGCGGGCCGGCTCACTTGGAGCTGGTGTACTTGGTGACGGCCTTGGTGCCCTCGGACACCGCGTGTTTGGCCAGCTCCCCGGGCAGCAGCAGGCGCATGGCCGTCTGGATCTCCCTGGATGTGATGGTCGAGCGCTTGTTGTAATGCGCCAGGCGCGACGCCTCGCCCGCGATGCGCTCTAAGATGTCGTTCACGAATGAATTCATGATGCCCATGGCCTTGGACGAGATGCCGGTGTCCGGGTGGACCTGCTTCAGCACCTTGTACACGTCCACGGAATAGCTCTCCTGCGGCTGCGCTTGCGCTTCTTGCCGTCCTTCTTCTGCGCCTTGGTCACCGCCTTCTCGGAGCCCGTCTTCAGGGCCGGAGCAGATTTAGAGGGTTCAGGCATGGCCGGGAGTTTACTGCCAAACAGTCCAAAAACCACAGAAGAAAGAAGCTGTCTGCATGACCTTTTTTTAAAGGCTGGAAACAAAAAAAAAAAAAAAAAAGAAAGACAAAATGGTAATGGTCACTAATTCTGGCTGATAGGAATGAATATGGGTTTCGTTGTAATGGTTGTCATTTTCTGTAGTTTTAAAAATTAACATTTCTAACACCCAAAACTCATCTGTTTAAATTGATTTCTCCTTGTGGATATAGAGACCATTCTACTTATTGAAACATTTCATTTATTTAAACATGTTCTGTGAATGAATGAATGAGTGTTCATCTTCATCAATTATTATACAAAGAGGGAAATACGCTATCATCTGATACAGGGCTATTGAAATTGGGCCCTGTGCCAGGGACACAAATGTGAGATGTCACAAAACATTTGTTAAAGCCAGCTGAATCCTCTCCCTTCTGCTTCCAGTTTGCACAAGTGTGCACGAGGCAGAGCTTGACGAACTTCTCCACTGATGAGAAGGCTGGACATTAAACCACAGAAAAGGGAAGAGCTAGCACTGCTTTGCAATCAGTACATATTTTTGACTCACTGATGACTACTTGGATGCTATCAGTGGATTCTAGTCTCTGGGCGGGGTCTTTTGTCTCTTGGGATGCATCATGAATTAGTTAAGGTCACAGTGGTGCTGCTTTGCTTGAGGCAACTACTGAGGACTAATACATTTCTGAAAATGGGAAAAAGGCCAACTTCATGTCTTTCTGAATGAGGGATGAAGGAGACGACTTTGAAAAGTATTAGGCCTGAGGCAATATCCTGAAAAGTAGTGCAATAAATCAGCCAAATATCACTTTGGAAGCGCTGAGAAGTGAACAAAGCATAAGGTATGGTTTTATAATAAATGATCCTTGTCCGACTCATCTAATTTCCTTTTAGGCAGAGGGATAAGCCTGGCTGAAGGTAAAGAAACAATAAATTAAACAATTTTTTAACCTAAGAAAAATTTTCATTTTAACAAATTAAAATGAGAAAAACATATTCTAGGCAGATATACTGGTAGAAGGATTAAACTCTAAGAATCATCGTTGTCAACCTTACAACAAATGTGTTTTAAAGGAGTTTCAAAGGGATTATGTAGATACTGGCTCTACATTCCTTTTAAGCAAGACATGTTTATTGAACACTTAATGTTTTCCAGGCTCTATTCTAGATGCTGAGGATATAATATTGAATAAAACAGACTAAAATTCTTGCCTCTGTGAAACTTACATCTGAAGGGGAAGAGAATATATACATATGCTTTGTTAGATAATTTTAAGAGGTTAAAAAAAAAAGTAGTGATAGAGGATAGGAAGTATGGGGGAAAATCTCACAATTTTAGATAGAATGGCTATTGGAAGGCCTTATGAAAAGGTGATGTTTGTGTAAAGATTTGAATAAGGTGAGAGAGTCATGCAGATACTTAGGTAAGAGCACTTTAGATGTGAAAACGGCATGCACAAAGGTCCTGAGGCAGGAGCATACTTGGTATTCTGCATTGAGGCTGCAGCAGAGTGAATAGGAATTGAGGTCAGAGAGGTAGCAGAGGCCAGATCAGGATGCTTTATTGACTTTAAACCCCAACCTTTGAAGGGGAAAGGACCCTCTCCTCACCTCCTGGTCAATGAGGGAGCAGGTAGACTGGACAATTGATTTTTCTTACTCAGGACTTGGAGCCATCAGAAAGCCTCTGGCACAGGTGTGGTTGCAGGGAGACCTCGTGGCAGCCGTGTTCACTGTGTGGTATGCACAGCGCCAGCAGTAGTGTCTCACCTGGAGTGTCAGGGTGGGGTCTTCCACCCAGCCGTCCTTCGGTTCTAACCATGTTCTGTGTCTAGTTCTCCAACCTTCCTATTGTCTGTAAACTAACTGGTAAACCAATGAAAACTCCCATCTGGTGGCTCAGCAGTAAAGAATCCGCCTGCCAATGCAGGAGGCGTAGGTTCGATCCCTGGGTTGGGAAGATCCCCTGGAGTAGTAAATGGCAACCCACTCCAATATTGTTGGCTGGAGAATTCCATGGACAGAGGAGCCTTGTGGGCCATAGTCCGTGGGGTTGCAAAAGAGCTGGACACGACTTAGTGACTAACAAAGCTAGCCAGAATTGCTTCCTTCAAACTAACGGAGCTATTAATAAAAATACTGATGGATATTCATGAAACTCAGAAGTATTGTTCAAGTCATTCTTTATAGCTCACATACTGTTAGTAAAAAGCAGACAGACACACAGAGAGAAAACTAATACTTGATTCATTACTACTGACTATAACTGTTGTTTCTGGTGGATTACCAGCTAACATAAAATAGGTCTGTACAGTACTTCATGTTCCAAAGATGGCTGTAATGACATCTTCCCTCCCACATGCTCTTTTGCATTGTGAATTTGCTATTTCCCCAACAAGAAGTGAGTGGCATATGTTTCCTCTCTCTTTGAATCTGTGCTGCCTCTGAGATGTCTTTTGACCAATAAAATGTGACAGGAGTGATATGTAATTTTCAAGGCTGGTCTTCCCTCTTGGAAGCCAGCTGCCATGTAAGAAACCCTCTGTTCTGCTGGAGAGAGACCAGTGGAGAGAAGCCTGAAGACACCTTGACCACCCCAGCCCCGACCAAACTGCCAGCTGAACATAACCTCATGAGTGAGCAAGACAATATTGTATGAAGCAGGACCACCAGCTGAGCCCAGCCCAAATTCCTGATCCACAGAATCCTGAGCAAATAAAATGGCTGTTATTTTAAGTCTCCATATCATGGGGCTGTTTATTAGACAGCAGTAGATAACTGAAATGTATAAATATTGTCACAATACAAAAACCTTAATTAATCACTTAATTGCATGAGTTTTCAGGCAGGAGATTTTAAAAAATAGGTGTGTGTGTGTGTGTGTTGGGGGAAAATCAAAGAGATGTCTGGGAAAATTGAAGGAGGAGAAAGAAAAAAAGGAAAATAGTTAACAGAAGGGCTCACTTTTTTTTCTCAGTATCATATTTGAACTTGAGAATTGGAAATCAGTTTACTAAACTGACCTGTGTTCAACTATTGGTCATAAAAAAAGCATTTATCTACCACCCCACCCTTCAGTGGAGAAATTGGTACAGGCCATGATTTCACTGGTTTTGCTTGCTGATGCATCCCCAGATGACTGGAACAGGAACTCTTAAGTGCTCAGTGAAGACTTGTAGCAGGAAATAAACACACACAAAAACCATAATATAATTAAAAAATTTTACCTACTAAATATCAGAAGTGAAATAGAGTAGTTCATCTAATATAGGGTTTTCAACCTGATAAGATGGGAAGAGGTGGAATTGGTTAACTGGAGAGAGTTCCAAAAACCTATGAAAGAGATAAAATACCATTACCAGAGACTTCAAAGGGTCAGGAAGGCTAATGGTCAAAATAAAAGCAAGCTTTGTGAAAACTATTCATAAAAAGGCTTTAAGCCTGTGTTTTCTAGCAACAGTTCTCTCTGATTTAGACCTCTAATTTTATCTTCACCTTTTTCTTTTGTCAGAAAGTAAAAGGTGAAGGTAAAATTTTTATTTTGTCTTATTTTCTCAGAAAAAAAGGCTTTCACTTTGGAAAGTATAAAATATACATGTAAAGAGATACAGGAAGAGACTTCCCTGGTGGCCCAGTAGTTGAGAATCTGTCTTCCAGTGCAGGGGATGCAGGTTCAATATTTGGTCGGGAAACTAAGATCACATGTGCTATGGGGCAACTAAGCCTGTGTGCTGCAAATACTGAGCCTGTTTGCCCCAGAACCCAAACCATGCAACGAAGACTCACGGCAGCCAAAAATAAACAAATAAATTAATTAATAAAAGAGATACAGGAGATGGAGCATGTTACTGTTTTAGAGGAGTTTAGGTATCTCGGCCCCAAAGCAAGGTTTAGCAGAGGGTGGCATGGCCCCACGGAGTGTTCTCAGTTGGTTCTAGTCAGAGGGCCTAGAGGCCCAGCCTTCCTGAAGGGAAACATGTCTCATCTTGAGGTTAGGTCTAAGGCCAGATACTGTTTAGACTGAACAGCTTCATAAGATCCACCGTCCTCCTCTTTGAGGAAAGGAGCTCTTACAAGCCGTTGGTAAGTTCTAGTAATAGTCTATTGGCCCCTTCCAGCCCATCACTGCCCTCTAGTAGATGTAGCATGTACCATGCCCAAAGGCTTGCCTCACTAATCAACCCTGCCAGGGGGCAGCTGGACAGAATTCCTTGTGGCCAAGTAGGACAGCAGTCTGTACAGCAGCAGGATAAACATACAGAATCCCACACACATCTATCCTGTCCTGAGGAGCAGACGAGGAACCCACAACTGTCCTCTCAGCCTCTGGAATGAGCATGGTCTTGAAGCAGAGGGCAGAGTGCACTCTTGAAGCAGCGTGCCTTCCTTCAAAGGCTCATGGTGCCCTGGATGTGGATGGACAAGCTCAGTCCTTCCCTTTCTTGTAACTTCTGCTGAATACAGAACATTAATATTCCAAGTCCCATCACTTCATGGCAAAGAGATGGGGAAACAATGGAAAGAGTGACAGACTTTAGTTTCTTGGGCTCCAAAATCACTACAGTTGGTGACTACAGCCATGAAATTAAAAGACACTCGCATCTTGAAGGAAAAGCTATGACAAAACTGGACAGCGTATCAAAAAGCAGAGACAATACTTTGCTGACAAAAGTCCATATAGTCAAAGCTATAGTTTTTCCAGTAGTCATGTATAGTTGTGAGAGTTGGATCATAAAGAAGGCTGAACACCAAAGAATTGATGCTTTTGAACTGTGGTGCTGGAGA